TAGAATTAATATGTACTTTTCAAGTTCAAGAATTACAAGAAATAATAGTAAAAAGATGAAAAACAAACAAGAAACAATTCAATCCAAATCTTCTTATAAGTTGACTATGATATGTGCAAGATCTTCTTATTAGTCTACAATTCCTAGTTCGCTAGTTCAGCTATCAGAGGATATTGATTTTCTATATAATGATTTAAAAAGCACTCAGAAATATAATCTATCTAAGAAAGAGTTATGTAATCTTCAACAGATATTGCTTTCAGGTTTTTACACTCTATCTCCGCTAAGGCTCAGGAGAATAAGTAGGGATGATCTACTAGAGTTTTTATTTGCAACGCTACCTTATTTTCCTGACTTAACGTTTTATCCAAGCAGAGATAGTTCACACTATATAGTTGTTTTTCCATCAAAAAAAGAGGATGTCTTGGTGTTCATGGCATTGAGTATCCATTTCTATCGTTTGACTTATGGTTATGTGCCCAAGGAGAATTACAGATTATTAGATAGGTTAGGTCTCTTTTATTCTGGTATTCAAAACATGGGTAAGGTGACTAGATTGTACCAGATTAACATGGATCCATCATTACAACTGATTCCTGAGAGTCTGGTTTTAGATGGTGTTAAGTCCTTTGTTGGGGCAGATTCGGTTTGTTATAAGCTGGTTAGTAGCTTTCTAAATCTCGAGACCTTTGATGAGGATGGTAGAAAGATATGCTTCGGTTGTATGCCAATTGTTGGAGAAATCACTAGGGTCTTATTCAATCTTACCTTAATGGAGTTCGACCGGCAGTTCAGCCATAAATATCCAGGGATTGCATTTGAAAGATTCATAGGTATGGTCTTTATAGCATGTACTGATGATCTAAGAATCGATGAATATCAAGTATTTGATATGATACAAGATCTCGGGCTGTCTTGTTCAATCGAGTATACAGAACCAGGGCTAGAGCCTTTCTATTGTCACAATAGGATGGTTGCTCTGGACTATGAGGGTAAGGTTGTCGTGTACAATCCTACAGATTACTATCCTACAGATTAGTAGGGGGGTGACAACAATTTAAGATAGGGAAAAAACATGCCGGTGCATTTCCATAGTTTATTTACTAGCAGGAGAGAGGAAGAGTCGCTATCTATCTATCCATATACGTATCAACAAATGTGGATCGGTCGATTGCCCCTAACCAGCAACGGCAAGGAGGAGAAGACTCTAGAGGTTTGTCCCAAGTCATGCGAACACTCGCTGTAATCATGCCCTACCCGATGACAACTCAAGATTGGCAAGCATGTCCATCCGACTACTCATGGAAGCTTTGAACTTCTCCATGCGAAGTGGGTCTCCTTCACTTTACTAGAAGTTTTTTGATGCACGAGGAATTCTCTGAGAAAGGAATGCGTCACTTGTTGATTAGCAAGAATCTCTGACGGCTAGCTTCCCTTGTATCTTCTCCCATGCATCAACCATGAATCACTACTCTCTAATGCTCTCTTCACTGACATTTCATGTTCTTAGCTCGGATTAGCAGGCTTGAATCATTCAATCATATAATCATGCCTCCAGAGTGACTTAATTTCACATTCTTAATATTGGATTACCTGTTAGCTACAACTCACATCTGCTGTTAGCTTCTTTAAGTCTTCTCTTTAAGTCCGATTGCCTTCTCAATCCTAATAAATGACGGGATGAGTTAAAGCACTATCAGACTGAATACCTTTTCTTATGAGTCTTCCATGAACTCAATACTAACTCTACTTATCCTTATCTGGTATGCCTTCGGCTTCCTCAGGGGCTACTACTTCCTGGGAAACCTTTGGCTAGGATCCTAGCAGCAACTTCGTCAACACCGTCTCAGTCTGTGTTAGAAAAAGGAAAGGAAGCGGGGAAGAGTTTAGCAGCAGGAAACTAGGGCTAACTCGGGATGTTAGAAAGGCCCTCTCTAAGATAGCACACACAGATGCCTAACATCCTACTGCTGGAATCCATTCCACCTGTCCTAATCTATTCTTACCTTCAAAGAACAACAGCAACCTAACAACATAGTAAGATAGGTTGAAGCTGTTGGGGAGATAGAGGCTAAGACTACTCAATCTTTATCCTCATTGGACTCAAGGAAAAGGAGCTAACCCGGATGCAAATCCTAGAAAACTAACTAACCTCGGTAAAGGAAGCCAACTTCCGAAACTGCAGGAGAATTGGGACCCTTGCTTCGCTTCGCACCTCGTCATAGCCTTGAAAAGCTCACTCGGAGTTATAATTAGAGAATGGGATATGATTAACTACTTGCCTACTGCTACCTGGGAGTCTTTCCTCGGGAGATCGAAGAAGGTATACTATTAGACAAGGTTCATTCCTGCTTAGCTGCTTTGCTGCTCTTCTTCTTTATCAAAGATAACTATTCCTCTGCTTTGATGTTTTCTGTACCTTTATGGGACTTACAGTAGAATAAAGGTCCCGGAGCTCATCCACGAGACTAACCAAGTCTCATGATCTAGGGATCACTCC